TCGATACTGAGATTTTATAATTCTCTTCCTGGATCTAATCCAGAAACTATTCGTACTGCAATCTGTGCGCCAACTGGCAAAGCAGCAGCACTAATTGATGGAATGACGTTGCATTCATTTTTAAGTTTACCAGTTAATCAATGCAAACATAAACTCGTTAAACTAGACAGTGATATTTCAAATAGAATTGGAGTGAAATTGAAAGATCTACAATTACTAATCATAGACGAAATATCAATGGTTGGTTTTACAATGTTTCAACACGTCGATGCACGTTTGCAGCAAATAATGAAGTCCAAAAAACCATTTGGCGGAGTATCAGTCATAGTTTTGGGCGATTTCAATCAATTAAGACCAGTTGGTGATAAATACATATTCCAATTTAACAATTCATACAATGCTTTAGTGGATAATCCATTATGGTCACTTTTTGAATTGTTCGAGTTGACAGAAATAATGAGACAAAAAGATGATAAAATTTTTGCCATTGCATTAAGTAATATAGCAAAAGGAATGATGACACTTGAAGATATTAATTTATTAAAATCCCGAATCGTTTCAAACGAAAATTTAGAAATGATGGGAGATGCAATAAGAATATTTAGAAGTAATGCTGAAGTTGATGCATATAATACAAAAGTATTGGCCAGTCTTAATACCGAAGGTGCAATTGCTAATGCTTATGATTTTTGTGTTGGTGATGGACTTGCATCGATAAGAGAAAAAGTTCTAAACAACGTAAAGCATCTAAAAACAACTGAAACATACGGTTTACCACTTAAAATTGATTTGAAAGTGGGCGCTAAGTATATGATGACAGTGAATATTGACACTGAAGATGGATTAGTAAATGGCGCCTGTGGAAAATTGATAATGATTGATTATGGAAAACTTCAAAAGACAAATGAGACAGTACCATGTCGACTATGGATTAAATTTAGTGAAGAGAAGACTGGAAGAAAAGCTAGAGCCAACTTTCATAATGTAATGCGAAATAGAAATATTGATCCCAGTCTCACACCAATTGAACCAGTAACACGGCAAATAAACACACGGTCAACAAATTTCAAAGTAGAACGGAAACAGTTTCCTCTAGTTCCTTCTGAAGCCATGACTATATATAAAAGTCAAGGTGGCACTTATGAAAAAGTCGTTGTCAATCTAAAGAAAGGAATGACAAGATCTGAATTATACGTCGCTTGTAGTCGTGCAACAAAAGCAAGTGGTTTATATTTAATTGGCGATTTTGTTCCACCAAAACCACCTGAACGTAATGAGGCAGTGGCGATGATGTTCAAGGGCATGAGATCCGAACGAATGCTGAAATTTTCACTTGAATTTCCTGAAGAATCTCAAGGAGAAAGATTTTTCGTGATGTTTCATAATGTACAATCATTGAATAAACATATTTTGGATATCAGATCTGACAAAACATTTTTGTGTGCTTCTATGATAAGTCTTGTTGAAACATGGACAAAACCTACTGATTTCTTGGAAATTGAAGGTTTTAAAGTAATTCACAGACGTGATTGTAATGATACACGAAAACCATTCGGTCAAATCACTTACTTAAAAAGTGATTTGAAGTATGAAAATATCACCGAAAGATGTGAATATTCAGGAAAAGACCATATTGAATATTGCTCAATAAAAATTGATAATATTTGTATTATTTCCGTTTACAATTCACCAAATTCATCATTTGATGTCTTAAAACGACATATTAATGAAGTTATATCTATTTCAAAAAGATTCTGTGAAGATATAATTGTTGTTGGTGATTTCAATATAAATTTGAAGATAAAAGCCAACCACAAATTCATTGAATATATGGAGTCATTCGGGTTGACTCTGATTAATAAATTAAATAAAAGTTCAACTAATGCTAAAACACAGATTGACTATTGCTTCACTAATATGAATGACTTAAAATCTGATTATTTTGAAAGCCTCACAAGTTTCCATAAACCAATATGGATAAGAAAACATGGAATTTTGACTGAAGTTCATGTTGATGAAATTAAACAAATTCGTACAGATATACCTTTTAATCTAAAAGATCTTAAAATTTATGACAAGTCTGATATGATGGTAGTTGACGAAGAATTCTCTTTCGATCGTTATGAAATAGTTGATGAAAACGAACAAATCGATATAGATACGACTTATAATCTT